AAGGATCGCGGGGGGGGGCGGCGGCGGTAGAGAGGGACCTCATTTTGGGATTTAGGGCGTCTTGGCTCCGCGACGGGTGTGTTTGTGCTTTGCTCATTCAAAGTGTCTAACTTGGGCTGCAAGCGGTCGTGGTGGCTTCGTTCTTTCACAAGAAACCTGGCTGATCGTGCCTGTTGCCATGGTCACGGGAGACTTGCTGCTGAAGTATGAAAAGGGTGAGGCAAGCAGAAAATAGCTGCTTGCCTTCTTTACCCGTTTCTACTTCTTGCTTTTTCTTGTGCGGTTTATTAAACAAATTGGAGTGATTGCCTCAGATCCAAGGAGTGCCGAATGCTTTTAAAGCTCCTTTTTAAAGGCATTTGCCATGCCTTATGTCTAACACTGAATCGTTTTGTGTTTATTCTATAGTCTAACCTCTTGTCATCTTGTCTCCCCCTGACATACCAGCGTTACATTTCCCACCTACTCTTAGCCTTCTCTTGCCTTGGTGCTTGCCTACCTCCTATAAAGTACTGCCAGCTGCACTAAACATTCTTTTTTTCTTTAAACTGCGGATAAGTAGTCAGATGATTGTCCTGTTGTTCCCCTAAGGAAGGAAAGATACAGTGTCCATCAGTGAGGCCTTGGGAGGCAAGAGGGGTATGAGAAAGGTGCCATCTCTTTTCCTTCTGCCTCCCTGCTGCCGTTTTCCTGCATAAGTGCCTTACTTCCTTTCCTTCCTGCTACTCATCTTTCAGCAGTGAGAGTGCTGCTGCACTTATCTGCTGCCCTTCCATTTAAATCAACTTTCTGTGACTGATTCTGTTTTTGGCTGCCTCATATACGCAACAGTGTGCCCACACTGATTGAAAACATTCAGAGATGTTTATGTGTAATGTGAATAAAGCAACTATTAGCATTTCAGACATTTAGATTTTTTTAATGTTCCTAATACCCTAAGTATGATGGACGCTAAAATATTAATTACCTTATTTGTTTTTTGTTGATCTAGAGAGACTGGAGGTGGGATAGGAGGAACCAAAACCATCATCTAGCCAACATCCAGCATCATAACAAGGGTAGTCAGCTGCTGCCAGTGCATCATTATAACTTTGGCCAGGTGTCATAAACAGAGAGCAGGTGCAGTACAGAAAGGTGCCCTAACAACAAAAGTCATACTAGACTCATTGAAGTCAATTTGCATGTAGTTGAAGGCACCCTGTTCCAAGGGCCACCTGCCAAACACATCTACCAGAAAGCTCCGTAATGTACAAATATACAGATTAATCGTACCTTTTGTTTCCCATGGTCCCAGGTAGCCAGTGCCAAGATTGAGGCCATAACTAGAAGCCTTTTGCATTTCCCCAAAGGGTTGGAGCTTCTCTCAAAGTAAGCTTACATTGAGGCAGAGAGATGGATGGCTTGAGGCAGCAACAAACAACATTGGGGATGGAGGGTAGTGCAGTTCAATTTCCCTGTTAGTTTTGCCATCCAGCATAGAGTAGTACAACAGTGGAACTAGTTACCTCGGGAGTTGGTGAGTGCTCCAACACTGGAGGCATTTTTAAAAAAACTTAATCATCTGGCAGATATGCTTTGATTGTATTCCTGCATTGAGCAGTGGATTGGATTTGATGGCCCTGTAGGCCCTTTCCAACTTCACTTTTTTATGATTCTTTGATAGAGAAGAAAGGCACAGGGCACAGGACCATCAAGGTAGTACCTGCCACTGCCATCTTAATTTCCCCCAAAATGCTGCTCTTTCAAATTTGTATATGACGGGAATGGAAACGACAGGAATTAGGGGCAATGTAGAGGTCTGTTGCAGCCATCTGTCTTTAATTTTTTTAAAAGTTCCTTTTTTAAAACGGGGTGGGGAAGGATGTTTGCATTTTTTTTTCAAGGTCTTTGGTGCCCGTGGATCTTAGCAGCTCCTCAGCCATGCAGTGTGCTTGGTTTGAGTGTGGTCCCAGATCCATGTATGAGTGTTTTAAGAATGCAGGAGTGTCATCTGCAGTTGAAATATTTTTCACTAGACCTGTTGGCATAATAGCATCTACTCTTAGCAATTGTGTGTGCCACATGAAGTATGAAGCCACCTGTAGTTACTTGCCCCAAATACTACCCACATAGCATCATAACTAAATGAGTGTTTGACTGTAAGTGCAACTCTCTTAAGTATCTCCTGTTATTTTATTAATATTAAGTTTGCAGCATTTTGTTCCTTAGTGTACATAAAAAAAGTATTGTGAAGATTTAGTGTTGGGTGTGTTACGCTAAAAATAACTTATTCCAAAATGGAATCACAGTTTAGTGGAAAATTTTCTTAGAGGTATTATTGTTAGAAATGATAGATACATGAAGGCATAGTTTGGGATGGAAGAAAGGCTGTAAAGGTCAACTACCATAGAAACTTTGAGGCAGTCAGATAAAGGTTAGAACATTTAATATTTCTTCTGTAAGGCAAAGTTGTATGAAAATTTGTGCACATTTATGTGTATGTACTATCTTACTATCTTACTCCTGAGAAACCTATATGTGGGACAGGAAGCAACAGTTAGAACTGGATATGGAACAACTGATTGGTTCAAAATTGGGAAAGGAGTACAACAAGGCTGTATATTGTCCCCCGGCTTATTTAATTTATATGCAGAATACATCATGCGGAAGGCTGGACTGGAGGAATCCCAAGCCGGAATTAAGATTGGCGGGAGAAATATCAACAACCTCCGATATGCAGATACCACTCTGATGGCAGAAAGTGAGGAGGAACTAAAGAACTTTGTAATGAGAGTGAAAGAGGAGAGTGCAAAAAACGGTCTGAAACTCAACATAAAAAAAAAACTAAGATCATGGCCACTGGCCCCATCACGTCCTGGTAAATAGAAGGGGAAGATATGGAGGCAGTGACAGATTTTACTTTCTTGGGCTCCATAATCACTGCAGATGGAGACAGCAGCCACGAAATTAAAAGACACCTGCTTCTTGGGAGGAAAGTGATAACAAACCTTGACAGCATCTTAAAAAGCAGAGATATCACCTTGCCAACAAAAGTCCGCATAGTCAAAGCTATGGTTTTTCCTGTAGTGATGTATGGAAGTGAGAGCTGGACCATAAAGCTGACCGCTGAAGAATTGATGCCTTTGAATTATGGTGCTGGAGGAGGCTCTTGAGAGTCCCCTGGACTGCAAGGAGAACAAACCTATCCATTCTAAAGGAAATCAACCCTGAGTGCTCACTGGAAGGACAGATCATGAAGCTGAGGCTCCAATACTTTGGCCATCTCATGAGAAGAGAGGACTCCCAAGAAAAGACCTTAATGTTGGGAAAGTGTGAAGGCAAGAGGAGAAGGGGACGACCGAGGATGAGATGGCTGGACAGTGTCACCAAAGAAACCAACATGAATCTGACCCAACTCTGGGAGACAGTGGAAGATAGGAGGGCCTGGCGTGCTCTGGTCCATGGGGTCACGAAGAGTCGGACACGAATAAACGACTAAACGACGACGACTATCTTACCATTCAGACTGGAAAATGACCAGTACAACTTGTCACTACAACTGCTGTAATTTTGGTGTTATTTGGTAATAAGACATTATGGTCACTTAGTCTACTGGGGCTTGAATTTCAGTTTTTATAGCATGCTATCAAGATTATTCTTCATTCCTGTGGTTTTCTTGTTTGTTTTACTATTCAACACATTGTGCCTTTTTTCTTTCTCTTTGCTAACAGGTGAAGCCCATTGCCAATCATGTTCTCATTTCTTTGATTTTCTCTAACATATATATTCTTTGCCATTTTCTCTTTTTGAAAGGTTGATGTACAGTCATGGTGCCATATCTCTTTACTTCCTTGCATTTCCCTCTGATTTTTTTTGCCATTTTTGTACTGTATTTATATTGTGCAAAGTTTCAGTTGGTCTCTCATTTCTCTGCCCAGCCAGCCTTTGATTTTCCAATTCTTTAGAAGCACATGACTTTCGATTCCCTTGGTCCTCTTCCTCTCAGTCTCCTAGCTGACTCATTGAATTTTAATATTTTTCCTACTTGCTGCCTGAAAAGTGTATTTTTAACAAAACTTACCGGTATCTTTTCTGTTCTCAAGTACTTATGTCAAAGCAGAAAGGGAACCTCATTGTTACAGGGAGTGAGGGGAATCCGGTTGTGATATTCATCATTCCATTAATTGCTAGTGTTGATTCAGCTGATCAAGTTGGCTAGTTAGGTGCCCCCTTCTTCCCTCACCACACCATGTTCACCTCCTGAAGCTTCATGCTTGGCGGAAGAGGACAACCATTCCAGATAGATGGAGTGTACCATTCTTTGGTCAACAGTAGAGATGGGCATGAGTTCATCCTTTAAATAAACAGGTGTTTGGTGGCTCCCAGCTCTGCGTGTTCCAGCAGCTGCCTGCTCAGAGGTAGTGCCCCAGCTTCCCTGGCCACCTCTCTCTGGGTGCTGCTTTTGAGTGGGTACCTGCTAGAGGAGATGGGGCTGGGAAGTGCCAAACTGTCAGTTCACACCCGTCTATAGTCAAAAGTATATTTAGAGATGGAAAAGCCTGGGGGGGGGGGAATGAAAAAGTTGGGGGAAAAAGTTTTCTTCTCTTTTTTTCCAAAGCTTTTTTCTTCTGGATTTTTTTTTTAAAGTAGAGTGTGGAATGTTTTCTTTTACAATGATAAATAATATGCTTATGATATAGTGTTTAAACTATATAACATGAAGACTTTAATGAAAGACTTCTGAGATTTGATCTATTTTAGTTTTCTATACATGCATTTCTTGCTAGAATCTCCAAATAAATGATTACCATATTTTTCCG